TTTGTTTCAACAATATTTCATCTACATATCATGAAGGCCTGCACGAATTTTCCCGACCTATATGGTTTAGCTGCAAGTTTGACTAAATTCTATATATCCCATGTAGAGTCTTTCGTATCAGTCTGGTAGGAAATTCTAGAATCACTTCTAGCATTTCTTTTCTTTGACCTGATCATGAAGATTTTGCAATCTTGTCGAGTTGCACTCCTATTAATTTGAATATGAGTGTGAGGATAGTGTATCATGGTCACTTCTTATCGTACGGTGGACTTTCGGGTTACTTAAACGTCACCTGTAACACGGTGATCATGACGACAACTTACAGGCTCATCAGAAAGTTTGACAAGTGGTCGGATAGCTCAAGAGTGGGATTTGCTCCTCCGGCGATGGAGATATATTCTTACGGCCCTCTCGGTGCGACGACATCCATCATCGTTCATCCAGACATAGGTGACTACGCCACGGGGATGCCGGAACACAATAACGAGAAAGAAGAAAAAAATCGGTAACGAGGATTTTTGGTATATTGAGCATAGTGATGACTCAAGAGGATACCGACGCATCCCGGGTTTTGTGAGGTATCACGAAGCAAAAGGAACATCACATGATAACCATAGCTTCACTCGAATATCATTCTTGTGCTCATAGGTATCGATATGGACATCCACGGTCCCGCTGTCGGTCATTGAACAAACAGTTTCGTTCATGTCTGAACTACCGAACCTACGGGGTCACGAGCTTAAGACAATCTCAATTTGTTGAGTTTTAGTAGGATAGGAGTGATGAGAATATATTTGTGGAATTATTTCATTAATATTCAGAATAGTTCCGAGAGGATCCGAAACGTTTCGGGGTCACCGGAAGGTTTTTAGTGAATGTTGGGTAATACCGAATATTACCGATAATTATATATAGGTGGAAACTATTTATGGGGATGTTAAATTATATATAAAAGGGTATAATATTCATTATAAGACTTTCATAATTTATTTAATATCAACGGGTCTTAAAAGGCCAAGTGATGGAACTCTACTTGGGCCACTTGGGCCCAAGTGGAGGTGGCACCCTCCTTTCCACTTGGGGAAGGGAGGGGAGGCCGAATTGGAGGGGGGGTCCCCTCCTAGGCCGTCCAAAGGGAGGGCTTTTCCTCCCTTGTGGCGCCCCTCTCCTTCTTCCTCCAACCTATATATATTTGAGGGGTTTTGCTCTTTATAGACACAAGTTTTGGAGTCTCCCCTTGTTCTTCTGGTTCTAGTTCTAGTTGACTAATTAGAGCTAGGCTAATCCTATTGTCCTCATAATTGGAAGCCTCGTGTGGTTCTAATCTCCTCCCTCTAATTCTCCGGCGACGATTGGCTCTGGATGGTGAAGCACTGCTGGATCGTGAAGGTTGCACACTTGCAACCAAGCAGAGAGGCCGTGCTTTCGGTCTTTAGTTCGAGGGACCGTTCTTAGGCGGTTCGCGGGATCGTCCATCGACGATTCAATGGACTCCAAGTATGATCTACACCGACATGTTCTTCTTTCGCTGCAACTCGGTTATGGTAACGATCATGATCCCAACCTGTTATGCATCTTCATATTGATATTAGGTGTGCGTAGGCGTGATTTTTTTTGTTTTCTACTACATTTCCTAGCAATTATTAGTCCAACTTAGAGTGCTTTCATGCGTGGAAGATTGATTACAGATAATGTATTGGTGGCATATGCATGCTTTCACACCATTAAGAAAACGAGAGCAGGCAGAGAAGTTTGTGCGCAATTAAACTGGATATGCATAAAGCTTATGATCGGGTTGAATGACCTTTTCTCAAGGAGATTATGCTCAAACTTGGATCCCGTGAGGTGTGGGTAAATTTTATTATGAAGCGTGTTTCCTCTGTTGAATACCGAATTCAGTGTAATGCAGAGGAAAGTGAAAGTTTTAAACCTACTAGGGGTTTGAGGCAGGGAGACCCGCTAACTCCTTACCTTTTATTGTTATGCATGAAGGGTCTCAGTGCCCTATTAACGCATGCGGAAGAAAATGAAAATATTTCAGGAGTAAAGATATGCAGAGATGCTCCACCTCTTACGAACCTTCTATTTGTTGATGATTCTTTAATCCTTATGAAAGCAAATTTGCAAAGTGCAGAAGCGCTGAAATCAGTTCTAGATTCGAATTGCGCAGCCTCGAGGGCAGATGATTAGTGTTGATAAATCCAACATCTTTTTTAGTCCTAAGACAAGTGTGGACTAGAGAACAAATATGTACAATTCTTAATATTACAACTGATGCTCTAAATGACAAAAAATTAGGACCGTCAAAAATGTGGGTTTAGATAAAACATATTCTTTCCAGTGCTTAATTGATCCTATCGTTAAGAGAATCAGTGGTTGGAAGGAAAGACTTCTATTGGCTGGAGGAAAGGAGATTTTGCTTAAAGCGGTTGTTCAAGCCATACCCACCTACGCAATTTCGGCCTTTAAAATTCCTATTTTTTGCAAAGAAATTATTGACGCGATGGCGCATTTCTGGTGGGGAGATGAGGACAACCCGAGGAGGATGCATTGGATGGCTTGGTGGATATTGTGTGCACCCAAGAATCAAGGAGGAATGGGCTTTCGGGAGATCCACTATTTCAACTAGATGATACCCCGCACATTGTTGCGGGAATATTTTGCAACATATTTCAATGTGATTCGTTGTATGAATAATGAATAACTGAAGTAATAATATAAAAAGTTAAAACTGAAATTACATATAATTTATTATGTTTGATTACTATATAATTGTAACTTTTTTATTAAATCTAAATAGCATAGTAGATGAAAATTCTCTTGGATGTTTGCATGTTGAGATGAGTCTTTTTTCATGCATGTTTAATGATGAAGTGACATGCTTGCATGTTGAGAAACATATGATAGTGGAGGTGGGCCTTTTCTCATGCATGCTATGGGATGATGTGGCATGCTTGCATGTTAAGAGAAATAGTTAGTGGGGGCTAGCTATTTAGATATAGAAGATTTGGCTATGCTCGCTAAACAGGCTTGGCGTCTTATCGAGAATCTGGATTCTCTATGTGCTACCATTTTGGGAGTCAAATACTATCCTAACAGTGACTCGTTGAACACTAATTTTAAGAAGGGCTCTTCCTTCACTTGATAAAGTATCATGGCGGGTGTGAGTATCCTGAAATGTGGTCACATTTAGCGAATGGGGAATGACTAAAATATTAATATCTGGGAGGATGCCTGGATTCTAAGTTGTGCAAACCGTACAATTGTTACTCCTAAGGGAGGTCAGTTGCTATATAAGATAGCAGATTTGATTGACCCCGTTCTTAATATTTGGGATGAAGACCTTCTCAGACAGACCCTATGGCCTATTGATGTTCAGTGAGTAATCACGATCCCTATCTCGCAACATGATATGCTAGGTTTCTAGCTTGGAATTCCACAAAAAATTGTACGTTTTAGGTTCGGTCTGCTTACTTCGTGGAATGGGATCATCAATATGCAAACAAGTTGCGACATACCAATGGGGCGTGACATACCACAATTAATCCTACTTGGGGTAGGATTTGGAAACTCTCTTGCCCAACAAAGGTTAAAATATTTATTTGGAGTACGCTTCATGGCATTCTTCCGTGTCGTGTTAAGTTAGCTAATAGACATGTGAAAGTTTTGCCCAATTGCCCTGTCTGCTCGTATAGACCAGAAGACACAAAGTTTTTGTTGTTTCTATGCAACAAGGCAAAAGAAGAATTGAGGAGGCTAGGGATGGGTGATATTATTGACAAAGCTTGTGAAGTAGATTATGCGAGTGAGGCAGTTTTGGAATATTTACTTTCAATGCCAAATTAGGAGTTATGTATTATGGGCAATCAAAATGTGCGCGAAATGATTGCCGTATCAGCTTGGTATCTGTGGTGGGAAATGTGTAAATTAGTTCATAATGAGACAACTCAAAACGCACAACAATTTTTCATGGCGATACATGCTCTTACAACCATTTTTGTTACTACCTCCTCGTTGAAGGTTTCCATGAAGAGAGGGGGATGGTCTTGTCTCCCGACGGGGTTTGTGAAACTTAAAGTTGCTCTTCTTTTGACCATGACTTACTTAGGGGTATGATGGGGGCGGTCCTAAGAGACGACAAAGGTAGGTTCATCCCTGAAAAAATGGTAAAATTGACTGGCGTGTGGTTGTACTAATGGCTGAAGATATAGCCCTAAAATTCGGCCTATCGCTGACGCAAAAGACAGGATGCAACCGCATTATTATTAACTCGATAATACGGAGGCGATCGACACCATGAAGGAAGGAGGACGATCGTCGGGAGCAGCAACGACATTTTTTAATGATTGTTTCTGGTTAGCTTGTGATTTTTCTATTTCTAAATTTGAGCACTACAATAGAGAAGCAAATAAAGTCGTTTATGAACTTGCTAAACTGGTTAGATTTTCTTTCATTTTTGAATAATGAATGGTTCGAGGAGCAGATGGTACCAATCCTCATAAACGATGTAATGGTTATTCTTAATGAATAAAGATCTATTTTTTTAAAATACTTAGGTCAAAAAATGTAGTGGTATTTTTGGGAATCACTAAAATTACAGCGGTATTAATCCGATTAATTCTTTTTCTTTGAAGCATATTGTCTCTTGAAAAAGAAAAGGCCTTTAATAAAAAAGGCCAAGGCCGCATCTAGGTTTTTCGTTGCCCCCAAGTCAGGCGAGAGTCTACAAATACGGCCCATGGTTTCCCGTCTGAGAGATAAACGCCTGGCAAACAAGTGAGAGAGAGAAATAAAGTTAAGAGCTCTCGACGATTGAAACCCTACCCGGAGCCCCGCCGCCGTCGCCTCTCCCTCTCGCTGTAAGAGCTGGAAACCCTTTCACCCGAAAATCCGTCTCTCCCCCAACGAACCCGATCTGATCCGGCTCCTGCGTTCTCTTTTCTAGGTTTAGAGCCGTAGCGCCGCCAGCAGAGGAGGGGGTGAAGAAGGCCAGCGTCACCATGGCGGACGAGGAGCAGATGATGGAGAGGAAGGAGGAGGCCACCGAGGTGAAACGCTCTCTTCTCCTTCTCGCTCTGCACGTCTGCTTCGGCGGATTCGTCTCTGGTTTGGACGGTGAATAGGCTGCCAAAGCAAGGGGACGGATATAATTTCGTGTTTGTTGTTTGTTTTGTTTGTGAATCCGAGACGACGGGGGCGATCTGTTTGATTTGTATGCTTTGGTTGAAGATGTCTAATCTGCAAGAGCGATTTAAGCTGCTAAGCCAATGGTTGTCGTGTGATGTGCAGTCAGATGCGGGGCTGCCCTGGTTCGCTCTTCGGGCAGGAATTCAAAACCAAATTATTTAACTCCCGTGTATTCTGATTTGCTTAACGTACGAGACTTTAACAATTAAGCATAGGATTTGAAGCTCGTGTAGCATTGAACAGCAGTCCGTGATTTTATAGGACAATTGAACTCTTAATGTTTGCGTATGCCTGTAAGTAGGCTTTTGTATCAGATGCGCTAGAGTTTTGTATCAGACCAGCTAAACAATTTATGTTGGAGATAGTGGTGTTGTTATGAATCCCTGCCAACGATTATCATAGGCAACAAAAGTGTAATGCTAAAATTTTAAATTATATATCACCATAATGTTGCCTTGTACTGAAATTACTGGATTGCTTCACTATTTTTTTTTTGAATGAAGAGGTGGGAAGAAGACGCACTTCACTGTTTATTATTATGTTTAGTTTGGTTCCAAATAGTTGTATTCCCTAGTTAATGTTTTATGTATTTGTCATTCCATGCTTGTATTTCCCTTGTCTTGTGCATGCTTATTGATAATGTTTATGATGTTTTGCAGATTGCACCTTTTGATCCAACCAAGAAGAAGAAGAAGAAGAAGGTCGTCATCCAAGATCCTGTTGATGAGGTTGATAAGCTGGCAGAGAAGACGGAGGGCTTGTCAGGTCCGTGTATTGATGCAAAAAAAAAAATGATCTCATTATCTGCTGTCCGTTGTTGCTGAAAGTTTTCTGCATTGTTTTTAGTCACTGAGTCTGGCGAGGCAAGCTTCGTGGGATTGAAAAAGAAAAAGAAGAAACTTGTGAGTTCATTTGGCTCAGTTTGTGGCTCTGTGCCGTGTTTTGCTTATTTTTAATGCTGTTTGAGAAAGTTGTGGGATGTCTACTATTCTATTTTGTATATGACATTAAATTATGTTGTCACGTTTCTCCTTGTGCATGCCAAACATAATAAGATGCCAATGGAATAAGCCACTACAATGCCCAAGCCTCAGGCTTCCATCACTCGGTTGAAAGTACCGTTTAGACTATCAGTTCCGTCTTGCTATTTGCTCTAACTCACCGATGTTCAAATTTCAGGTGGAACTTGATCCATCACTTGTTGAGGCTGGAGATGGTGAAGACACTCTTGGTAAATATTGCTTGTTAGTATTTTAATTATCTTCATTACATTTGCTGCTGCGTCTGAGCATGTATGTAATCTTCAGATGATCAAGTTGGAGAGGATGAACAAGGAGAGGGGATTGTGCTGGGTGGAGCAACCCAGTACCCATGGGAAGGAACTGATAGAGATTACAAATATGATGAGGTAATTGTTCTTCCATGTCTGTTCAATTAACATTTCACTATCCTATTTATTGAATGTTGACAAATGACAGACAAGAGTTCTGTGAACAAACTAATACTAAAAATCATTCATTTGACCCTTTCATTTCAGTTGCTTTACAGTGCATATTGAGAAGCGTTCTTAAGTTTTTTCTGTGTGCTTCTTGATGTAGTTCTTCGTTGTTTATTTTTGACTGCATTCTTTTTGGTGAAGCCTAATCATCAGGCTGTTTATTTTTTATTACTAATATGCTATCGGTGCATGGCTAGCATATTGGATAGTGCTCAGTTGTTCCTTCTATTTTGATTGCATTCTTTTTGGTGAAACCTAATCGTCAAGGCTGTTTGGTTACAGCTGCTTGGCAGAGTCTTCAATATCCTGCGTGAGAATAATCCAGATCTTGCTGGTGATAGACGAAGAACAGTTATGCGGCCTCCTCAAGTTCTTAGGGAAGGCACAAAGAAGACAGTTTTTGTGAACTTCATGGACTTGTGCAAAACGTAATTCTTCTTTGTTTTTGCTCTAATTGATCTTGTTTTCTGTTACTTTGTTTTATTTTAATATTTTTAAATTTTATTTGAAAATTGTAAGGCTATCATGAACAGTTACTTTGTTTTCTGTTACTGAAGTGATATTTCTACTTTTCAGAATGCATAGGCAACCTGAACATGTGATGATGTTTTTACTTGCTGAGATGGGAACAAGTGGATCCCTTGATGGGCAACAAAGGTTGGTTATCAAAGGAAGATTTGCCCCGAAGAACTTTGAAGCTATACTCAGGAGATATATCAGTAAGTTTCCTTATTATCACATGACCTTGTTCCTGCTCCTTTTTGGCTTAACTTTATGAGTCCTGGCTTTTTACGTGTAAGCATAATGTTGAACTAAATATTTCAGCCTGCAGCTGTGTTGCTAAAAAATTATTAGGTTGTTTTTGTTTTCGATTTGTAAGGTTAGTTATTGTTGTGCGTGCCCATTTTACCCTGTGGAATCAAGGGAATTATTCCAACTGTAGTGAAAATCAATGTTCTGCTTTGAATGTATAGGTTGGCAGTTTTATCTGAAAATAAAAGGCACCATGATGCCAACTAATCCTTCAAAGTTTCTCTCATGGCCCCAGTAAGAAAGACATAGCTATGGCGTAAGAAGTATGATGGTCACTTGCTGTGAATGAGCTTTATATTTTTCTTGTGGCATGATCATCCAATCATAACCCAGAGCTTCTCGACGTGGAAGAGTAGCTCCTTGTTTTCCCATGTGATGATGGGGAGAGCCGACACCAATTTTCTATTTTCTAATCTCTCAGCTGCTTTTGATTTCCTGTAAGCTCAATGGACTAACTTTTGCTGCCGCCATGTTCACTTGTTTCAGATGAATATGTCATATGTAATGGATGCAAGAGCCCAGATACCATCCTTTCCAAGGAGAATCGGTTGTTCTTCCTTCGTTGTGAACAAGTAAGACTGTTACACTCCCCACTTGTCGTTCTATTCGCATTTACATTATTAGTTACTAGTGGTTCCTGGATTTCTTGTTTCTGCCTATGATGAGTTGCAAACAGTATTGCCTACATTGTTTGATCAATCTTATGAGAACTTCTGCAACCTCTGAGGATGGAACGGTGCCTTTTATTAGACCCAGCTTCAATCTAGTCTTTTATGCTGTATAATCAAAAATCTGTTTACAGTTTTTGCACCTCTTGATTTTTGCTGATGATTAGTTGCAGAGGCATTTAGCCTTGCATTGTTTGAGAAATATTTTGTGATAATAATTGCAACATCTGAGGTTTTTCAGTACGATAGTTCTTCTGTTTGTGTTTATTCTTTTTAGCTAAACATGGTGTTATTTGCGTTTTTTATTGCTTATTAAAGTAGTCGTCCTTGGCTGCCTACCTATGATGAGTTGCAAACTTTATTGCCTACATTGTTTGATCAATCTTATGAGAAGCTTCTGTAACGTCTGAGGATGAAAAAATGCACTAAAAATCCTTTGATTATTTTTTCTCTATATTTTTGTTATTTACATTCGGTTACTTGTCTTGTGGGCTTTCCACCTATGATGAGTCGCAAACCTTATTGCCTACATTGTTTGATCAATCTTATGAGAAGCTTCCTCAAGGACAGAGGATGAAAAAATGCACTAAAAATCCAATGTTTTTTTCTATATATTTTTATTATTTACGTTCAGTTACTTGGGTTGTGGCTTTTCTACCTATGATGAGCTGCACACCTTATTCCCTATATCGTTTGACCAATCTTGTGAGAACCAGTGTATATTTTGTTTGGTCTAGAGTTCAGATGTCAGTTTGCACTTCTGGGGTAGTGCTGATGATGAGTGAAGTTCTTGCCTACATTGTTTGACAAATAGTATGTGATGATAATTGCTGCATCTGAGGCTTGTGCATTATTATATTATCATGGCTCTTTTGGCTCTCCTGTTTTTTGCCTGCTGCCTCTAGCTAAAGACTTACCGATGATGAGTTGCAAACCTTATTGCCTACATTGGTTGATGAACCTGCTGCAATTTAGGATTTTCTTGTACCCACATGTTTTAACCATACGCTAACCCATCGATTTATTTTTCTTGATCAGTGTGGTTCGTCAAGGTCAGTTGCTCCTATCAAGGCTGGATTCGTGGCGCAGGTTGGGCGTCGGAAGGCTGGAACTTAAGTTTGGTAGTGTGCGGATTTACAACAATCTTTATTGTCCTGTTTTCACTGTGCCTAGACCGCTTTGTGGATTTTGTTACTTCCTGTACTATGAATGCTGCTGGTGTGAATTTCTATTTATCTCAGAGGATCTAAGTTTGGGGCCTATTGCCGGCTCCTTTGCCTTTGGTACTACTAGTTTTAGTTATCTGCATGAGATGAATCTACCTGTCTGACATGTTATTTCGCTCAAAGGACCCAGAAACATCGTATTAAGAGAGATGTGGTGGTATGGTACGGTAGCCATTTGGGCGTTGTAATGACGTGTTGTTCCGAAATCCAACCACGCAGCCCCGTCGACGAGAAAAGGAAAATCCTTGCAACTGAAACACAGCCTTACATGTAAACAAGTCATGATAAGAGGATAAGCCGACGTGTCGCCTATTCCTGACCTAAGCTATCAAACGACTCAACCAAAGCTCGCTGCCTCCCTTTCCACAACCTCCAATCATCCCCGCGCAAGCGCAGTGAGCAGAAAGAAAGAAAGAGATGAGGTCTCCCGTCCCCGCCATGCTCACCGCCCCATCAGCAGCGGCGGCCGTCGCCAAGCCGCTCCCCGCGGCTCGCTCCAACACGACGGCGGCGGCGCTCCACGCGACGGCAGCCAGCAGCAGGCGGGACGTGATCGCGGGCACGGGCGTGGGAGCGGCGCTGCTGCTGGCCCTGTGGCCGCAGCGCGCGCGTGCGGCGTCGGACGACGAGTACCTGGCGGAGACGACGGAGGTGATCGGGAAGGTGCGGTCGACGATCAGCATGGACAAGACGGACCCCAAGGTGGCGGACGCGGTGACGGAGCTCCGGGAGATGTCCAACTCGTGGGTGGCCAAGTACCGGCGCGAGAAGGCGCTGCTGGGGCGGCAGTCGTTCCGGGACATGTACTCGGCGCTCAACGCCGTGTCCGGCCACTACATCAGCTTCGGCCCCACCGCGCCCATCCCCAACAAGCGCCGCATCCGCATCCTCGAGGAGATGGACGCCGTCGAGAAGTCGCTCAAGCGCGGCCGCTGAAGAGTACTAGCAAAATGTACGTGCGTGCGTGCGTGCGTCAAACAGGCAGGATAGGATGAGAACGTCGCGTTGCTTGTCCCGTGGGTCATAAGCGCTCCGATTTTGAGCCTCGAGTTTATCAATTGTTTGTACGACTTGTCTGAATCGGCTGAATGTTCGACATGGTGAGAATATTGTTGGGGGCATCCTTGATTTTGTGTATCACCGTCTTCCTTGTTTCAATGTGCCTCCACGGTGCCCAACACAGTTCAGGTGCTAAGAACATCTTCAGCCGTTCGGCCCCAGGACTCGAAAAAGCGTCGTGTGGAACCGAACCGGCGTTTAATCTAGACGTGGTGGCAATTGTGTTCCTAGTCGCCGCCCCAGGTCAGTCACCAAATCGGCGACAAACTCGGCGATTTGATTCAAATTTGTATAAACATGGCAAAAACTCGACGATTTCATTCAAATTTGTAAATAAAACAGAAATCAAACTATGCCTAGCCTACGCCGCTGTCGCCGTCCTTCTTCTACATGCCGAGGAGACTGTAGAACCGGGTGTAGTCGTCGCCGCCGCCATCCTGCGTCCCGCCAGAGCCGCCGCCGTCCCTGCTGCACCCCTGACCAGGTGTGACGCCCCAAGACCGATGCTCGAAAAGACTTCCATAGGTTTCGGGTTTCTCCGTGTGTTTCATTTTTGCTTGCTCCCTTTTTTTTGCATTGCGTCATGTCATCATGGCATAAATCTTTTGCATCTCAACTAAATAATTTATGTGGATCTTCGATCCATTTAAATCGAGGGAATAGTGACTTCTCTTTATAACTTTATTCTCCTAATATTTAGGGAGCTATTATATTCCATTAATTTGGAATCATCGTAACAAACGTGCAAAATAATTCCCATGTCTATTCCTCTTCGAGTTGGACCTTCAAACCTTGCCAATATCTCTCATCTCTTTTATCGAGGCTCCTCCTAAAACCTCAACATTTTTGTACACTTCTATAACCAAGCCCTAGTTCAAACCCATTTGAATTAAATTCAAATGAGTTTGAATGACATCTTTCAATCATGTGTCTCCTATTTTTCGTGGACCGTGCACATTTTTACGAGTCTGTAAAAATTATCCCCATGCCTAGATTCCACCGCTACCTTCTCTTTCTTTTCTTCATCTTTTCTGTTTTGTTTTAAAATGGGAAGAGGAGTGAGAAGAGGGAGCCAGGCCGGCCCATTTACCTCTAAGCCCATAGCCAAGCCTGCCCGTTTCCCACCTAACCCTAGGCCCAGCCTCTCCCCTCGTAACCTTTCCCTCATGATCCCTCCCTCGCACCTCGCGCCGCCAGGAGAGAAGCGCATCGCGCTCGACCCCGCTTTCCTTCTCGATCCCCATCTTCCTCCTCCCACTCGATCTTTAACACCAGCGAGCCACGCCGCCGCGCCTCCTGCCACTCCACCTACGACCTCCTGCCATGGCCTCCTCCTCGCCTTGAGAGTCCCGCACGCCCGATCCCCATGGTTCGCGCCTGCCTCTGCGCGCGTCGTCCCACCTCAGCACACGCGTCGTCCCGCCTCAGCGCCGCCGTCCTCCATGGCGCCGCGCCCGGCCTCCCGCGCCACCACCATCTCCAGTCGCCCGCGCCATCACCTTCCCTCGTCGGCCTCCTCCGCATCACCAGGCCGCTTCCTCTGCCCTGTTTCCTTTCTTCTCCATCCCGTCCCCTTCCCTGAGTTCGTGCTCTCTCTCTTGGACAGCAGGGCCCCATGGACGCCAATCCGCCGGTCCTCCGCGCCCTCACACCCTGCCAGACCTTCGCCTGGCCCCGCTTGTTCGCTACCGCCGCCTGTTGTTGCCTCGGCGCTGACAGCCATCACCGCTGCTCTGCTTCGTGTCGAGAAGGAACACCTCGTTGCCGGGCGTTGACCCCTTCTCTTGCTCCAGCTCTGTCCGGCAAGGGCCTCGCGCCCGCTGCCTCTCTTTGTCGGGACCAGGACCATTTCCTCACGCCCCTGATCGCCTCTCCACGACCATCTCCTCCCTGATGCCCTGGCTGCTGCTACAAGACCACCACAGCGCCATCATGGAACCCTAGGGCCGAAGATGACCATGATTGTGCATCTCTCCTTGTGCTACTTTGGAGATCAAGACTGCCCCGGACCATGTTGTCTCGCCGGATCGTCAAAAACCCCGGTTGTTGCCAAGTTCCTTGACGCCCGATGCCTGGAACGACTACCGTCGCCGAAGACCCTTGAACCAATAACTTCAAGTTCAACTATTGTCGCAAGAACGAGACTGGCGGGTTCGAAGACCCCAAGTACCACGACAACCCCGAAGGGATTCGAGTTCGTCAAGTTCACCTTCGAAACGTGTACCACTACCGACGACTGAGACCCTGGATTCGACAAGTTCCTCACAGTGACCCTGAACATCTACGGGACATGCACGACTTCGAACCGTGTACCACGTCGAACATGTACGGCTACACGACGAACCGCCAAGACCCTGAACGACTACCGCCGCCGGAGTCCGCGAGTACAACTACTCCCACAACGCGTCGTGTACGACTACTGTCGCTTAGGTTTTGACAAGCCTCCGAGTACCACTACATTTGCCATGTACAACTACACCAAGTTCGGACCGACAAGTGCCTTGAGAACGTCTGTACCTCTTTCGTCGCCGAGGACCGAAAGTACCACTACGTCCCATCGAACCCGAACCGTCTCGTTTGCACGCTTCGAAGGTATAACCCCGAGACGACATCCGTGAACGAATGCTTGCGATGTTTGAGATGCTCGTGTTTGCACCGTGTCCACACATGCGCCAGGTGCCGTTTTTCTTAAGGACCAGCACCGGATTGGCAAGCCACTCAGGGTGAAAAACTTCAACAATAAAGCCAGCTGCTAAGAGCCTGGCTACCTCTTCTCCAATTGCCTTGTGTCTTTCTTTGTTAAACCGGCGGAGAAACTGTTTCACCGGTTTGTATTTAGGATCCACATTGAGGGTGTGTTCAGCGAGTTGCCTCGGTACACCTGGCATGTCAGAGGGCTTCCATGCAAAAATGTCCCGATTCTCACGGATGAACTCGATGAGCGCGCTTTCCTATTTCGGATCCAAGTTGGCACTGATGCTGAACTGCTTGGACGAATCGCCAGGTACAAAGTCAACAAGCTTAGTTTCTGCTGCCGATTTGAACTTCAGGGCTGGATCATGCTCCGTAGTTGGCTTCTTTAATGGAGTCATGTCCGCCGGATCAACATTGTCCTTATAATACTTCAGCTCCTCGGTGGCACAAACCGACTCTAGTAGGCCGCATCTCCTTCCTCACACTCTAAAGCGATTTTACGGCTTCCATGAACTGTTATTGTCCCCTTATGACCCGGCATTTTGATCTGCAAATACACATAACAGGGCCGTGCCATAAACTTGGCGTAGGCTAGTCGCCCAAACAGGGCGTGATATGGACTTTGGATTTTCACCACTTCAAACGTCAATGTCTCCGACCTGGAATCATGATCATCTCCAAAGGCCACTTCCAGAGCTATCTTACCAACAGGATATGCTGACTTGCCAGGTGCCACACCATGGAACACCGTATTGGACGGTTTGAGATTTTTATCTGTTAGTCCCATACGACGGAAGGTCTCATAGTACAAGATATTAATACTGCTCCCTCCATCCATGAGCACCTTGGTGAACTTGTAACCTCCCACCTGAGGTGCCACCACCAGAGCCAACTGACCCGGATTATCAACCTGGGGAGGGTGATCCTCTCTGCTCCATATGATTGCCTGTTCAGACCAGCGTAGATAACGGGGCACGGCCGGTTCAACAGAGTTGACTGCCCGCCTCTGAACCTTCTGGTCTTGCTTGTCCAAGCTAGTGGTGAAGACATGGTACTACCCACTATTCAACTGCTTTGGGTTGCTTTGGTAACCTGACTGTTGCTGCTATTGGTTGTAACCACCCTGGTTGTTCCGATTATTTTGATTATTATGTCCGCCCGGATTACCATTAAATTCTAAACCAGAATTTCCTCCACCATAACCCAGCCCGGATCCTGAGCCACCACTGGAGCCGTGATCATACCGGAAAGCATTAGAATTCTTGAACTCCTGCATAATGAAGCAATCCTTTCAAAGGTGGTTTGCTGGCACCTCCTTCGTTCCATGTCTTGGACAGGGCTGGCTCAGTAGATAATTTAGGCGGTCCGGGTTAGGGTTGGGTGCTCCATTGCGATTTGGCGGTTTACCCCTGTGTCGCTGGCCCTTGTCCTGCGCGTTGGTGTTAGCCACAAAGTCCATATTACCATCCGCTTTACGCTTGCCTCCGCCACCATTGCCTGCCAAGTGATGCTGCTGACCTTTGGAGTTGCTGTTCCTCTTTCCCTTCCCTGCCTTGTCATCATCAGATTCGAGATCTTTGGTACTATCAGAATCAACATACTTTACCAAAGCAGCCATGAGGGTCCCCATGTCAGTGCAATGGCGCTTCATCCATCCCAACTTCAGCTTTAGGGGCCCAAACCGACAGTTGCCTTCTAGGGTTAAGACTGCGGTGTCAGCGTTGATGCGGTCTAATGAATGCAACACTTGTGAGACCCGGCGCACCCAATGATTCGTTGATTCTCATTCCTCCTGGACACAGGCAGCTAAGTCCACTATCAACATAGGCTGCTTACATGTATCCTTGAAATTACTGATAAACCGGGCTCGTAATTGGGCCCATGAACTGATAGAGTTGGCCGATAAGCTTTTTAACCAGGTGCGGGCCGTTCCTTCAAGCATCATGGTGAAGTATTTCGCACATGCCGCATCATCCACCTCAAGCATCTCCATGGCCATCTCATAGCTCTCCACCCATGTCTCTGGGGGTTGATCCGCCGTGTAATTTGGTACCTTGCGCGGGCCCTTGAAATCCTTGGGCAGGCGCACATTGCGTAAAGCGGGGACAAGGCAAGGCACCCCCAAAGAGCTAGAAGTAACACCGGGTTCGACCGAAATAGTTGGGCGAGCCGGCGTAAGCTGC